CGGGCTCCCTGCTCAGCGGGAAGCCTGCTTCTCCCTCTCCCACTCCCCCTGCTTGTGTTCCCTCTCTCGCTGTCTCTCTCTCTCTGTCAAATAAATCTTTAAAAAAAATAAATAAAATAAAAAACAAAACAACTTTCAAAATAACACAGAAGGTAATTAGTAAAAAGTCTTCCTCTCGCCCTGGCCCACAGTGCCACTTTTTAAACATTAAATAACAGAACATAAGTAGCAACCTATAAGAAAAATGTGATTACAGTTATAAGAGAGGAATTAGACAGCAACTTTCGTTTTCTGTTTAAATTGTTGAAATAAGAGAACCTTATTTCCTTTATCCCTAAAACATCCAGACCTGTTCACAGTTTTATGTGGCATCTGTAGCTGCTGATCTCAGAAATTCTTAAAACACCCTCAAATAGTTCAAGTAGTTCCTAGGAAAACTATGACTTTAGAGATTGGTGGGCTTTGTGAGGACATACTCTGGTCTCATTTTGTTGTTTTTTGCTTCGGTTTTAGCTTTCTTACTATCTTGAGTTCTCTGATTATAAACCAACACTACTGATGTGTTTTTTTGAGTGTGAACTGTTCACATTCTAAGGTGTGTCCCCAAGAACTGGAGGGAAGGTAGCATCACACTGGCGCGCGCGATCCCCACTCCTCCTCCCTCTGCCTCCTCCTGCAGGAGAGCTACTGCAGTAGATGGGCCATTGGTTCACATAACCCTTGTTCTGTGTTGTACCTCTGTCAGATTGTGCTTCGCCCTGGGTTTCTTGGCTTGTAACCCCCTGTCTGGTGGATGTTGCTGGTCAGTTTTTACCTATATGCTCTCAGTTCTCCTTACTTTACTGCTCACAAGCCAGCCATGCGTGACATCATAAAATGTTGGAGGGGGAGAAGATACAGGTTGTGATTGCTCACTGAGAACTACTATTTATATTCTTTGGCTTTTTATCAATGCCCCTGATGGTCCTATGAATGAAGAGGCAGGACCTTAACACCCACCCCCCAAATTAGATTCTTCCTGTAAAGATAAAAATTAAAGTTTTCTATAACTTTACCTCATTTTGGTATATATTCTGTGTATTTTTCCACATATGTCATTATATTCACAACAGCTTTTAAAATCGTTGTATGATATTTCATTGTATGGTAACCTTAACGGCCTCCCCCGCCCCGCCCCCCGGAAGACATGTAACCCTTGATGAAGAGAAATCTATAATCGGAAATACTATCGACTATTCAGTAATCAGGTCCGGCTAAGCACTTTATTGTATATTTGCTTCTTGCTGATGTACTGGGTCCTGGCATAATAGAAATACCTTGATCTAAAAATTATATCAACAAATTTTTCAAAATTTGTTCAAAAATTATATCAACAAAAATTATATATAACAATTGATAACTTAATACTTCAGTTTGAAAATTCATCTTGTGAAATTTTAGATTCCATTTGTCACCTTCTATGTTACAGTCATTGACTAAGCTAATCTGTTCAGTTGGTGGGCTGTGTAATTTTTCTTTTACAGAAATGGTTCTCTTAAATTTGGGGGGATTCATGTACTCCTTTCATGTTGTGGTAGAAGCTGTGATCATTTACCTCAGGAAGATGCCCAGACATACCAGATTTTTAAGTACAATGTTAAGAAGTTCATGGATAATTAAAACTATTGTTGGCCTTAAGATAATTTGCTAAGAACCATAGTTGTTAACACAATTTGAAACACATCCACATCCTTACTTATTAGGCTACTTTTAAATGAATCCTAGAGTAAGATTATTGCCTTTTGAAGACATCTGATAAGTCTTAATATTTTTATTCTAGGGAAAAGTCAAGTTTGTGTCTGAGAATTATACCACTAACTATACTAGCCCATCTTCTGGCTATGATTGCCACGTGGCTGCAAATACTAACAAGGTTTCTCACAAGACGAGTCATTTTCGCGCATTTGAACTGAGTCAGGTATAGTCACCTGGGAATAAATCATTCCCAAGATACATTTCTGAATCTAATGTGTTAAATGTTAGGACTGGGTGGAGTTGAGATAAAGCATTCCATGGTGCTACTCTGATAATCCTTATTTCTTTTCTTTCAGTATTACCTCTATGAACTTTCAGGCAGCTCTGTTATTGAGCGACCCAGGCAGATCTGCCCTTATATTATTGTAGCTTTTCAGTATAGGGAGCCTAAAAGGATGGCAGCATCAGCTCATAAAAGCATGTAAGTAATTATGCACATACTTTGTTTTACTGGATCTGTTCTGTTTGCTCTTATAAACATGCCTTTCCTTTTTCCCTAGATTTGAACTCAGTGAAAATGGTAAGAAATTATTTAATTGGTTCTTTTATTTAAGTAAATGTTTTGCTCATAAATAATCCGTTTCTTTCTTACTCATTTCTTACAGTGCTCACCTCTTCATGGCAAGGCAGATTAATTATTCAAGGCTGTCTGCTGTGTGATATAACTCTTTGGTCCTCTTATGGTACAGCTGTTCCAACGCAACTGTAAGTATTGAGTTTGTGTCCTTTACTGTTTGATTTTTTTTTTCTTTTTAAATTCTCATTTTGAGGTCTTGTTTGTTGGTACTGGTGTGAAACAAAGCAGTCGTACTTGGTTTTTTATTAGAGTACTTTGGGTTGATGTATAGAGCACAGGAAACTTAAAATTCAGGTCTAAATTCTGACCTTGGCTTTGAAATAGTTTTATAATCTTTGACAAGTTGCTTTGGAAATTTTAGTGTCTTAATCCATTCATGAGAATATGACCTTGATACTAGATGTTTGACTTTCCCAAGAAATAAATTGAATTTGCCTCAGTAGCAGATGCAGCAGATTACAGGCACTTAATACTATTATTGAGTCTTTATTTTTATTAAGAGTTGCAGGAGCTGATTTTGTAATTTTCCCATGATTTTCCTAGACCACTGTTAAGTAGAGTAGCTATTACACATATTTGCATTATAATGAATTATTTGTTTTGGGGGCATTGTGAAGGGCATCTCATGAAATCTTTTTATTTAGTCTGCGCTTGGTTTGCACCCAAAACTGTTGAAAGATAGACCTATTCTATTGAAATATAAGCTGAAGATAGGTGTGCTGTCAGAATTCATTTTCTTTCTGTTGCCTGACCTGTTTTAAGAGGGAGGATTGAGGGTTATTACAACCCAGAAAATAAAGTAAGAATTCTGTAAATAGGGGTGGGTACCTGGGAGGCTCAGTCAGCTGAGCATCCGATTCTTGATTTCAGCTCAGGTCATGATCTCAGGGCCATGAGATCAAGCCCTGAGTCAGACTCTGCGCTGGCATGGAGCCTGCTTAAGATTCTCTTCCTCTGCCCCTTCCCCCCTACTCTCCACCCCCTGTGCGTGTGCTCTGTCTCTCTGAAAACAAAACAAAACAAAACAAAAAAACGAATTCTGTAAATAAATAAATGGGAGAGTTGGGAAAGTTCATTGTCACTGTGGAGTACAACTAATGAGTGTAGAGAGAAATGGCTAGAACCATTACCTAAATGGTTAACATCACAAGCAGTGGAATAAATATCATGTGCTTCCTAAAAGGATGCATAGAGAATGACACAGTGTCACTTGTGTGGTATTCCTGCCAATCTAATCAGCAGGAAACATCAGATATACCCAGATTGAAGGGCATTCTGCAAAATACATGGTCTGTATTCTTCAAAAATACCAAGGTCGTTAAAGACCAAGAGACTGTCTAGATTGAAGGTGACTAAAAAGACATAACTAAATGCAGTGTGTCATCCTGGATTGGATCGTAAAACAGAAAAAGATTTGTTTTCTTTTGTTATAAAGTCCCTTAGTGAGACAGTTGGCAAAATTTGAATAAGGTGTGTAGGTTAAATAATGGAACCATATCATTATTAATTTCTTGATTTCATTAATTGTTCTGTGGTTGCATAAGGAAATGTCCTTTCTTAGGGATACACAGAGAAGTATTTAGGGGCAAGGGGAGCATTTATAAGTCTACAAGTATTTGAAAATGAGTTTTCAAGGAGAAGTCGGGGGAAGTGGTACAAAAGTCTGGATGTGGTTCATTCAGTGGCACTGCATGGTATGCAGTCCACTATTGTCAAAAGTTGTCAACTCTTACATAGCATAATTTTTAGAAAATTCTCATTCCAGTATGCATAATTCTTTCATTCATCTAGATATTTTGCTAGTCTCAAAAATACATGCATTCAGAAAATGTTGAACATATTTGCAGACTGTGGCCTGTGGGGTCATATATTTGAAAATCTATAATATTTATAAATATGCACATTATTTGATTCGGATTTTATCAATTTCAGGACTTTTCTTGTTATGATATTTTTGTTTGCATTTATATTAGAAAATAAAAAAATATGAAGTTGTAGTTTAAATGTTTGTTAAATTGCATGATACTGTTTTTTTTTTTAGGCCACGTGAACTAGATTTTAAGTATGTAATGAAAGTGTCATCTTTGAAAAAAAGACTACCAGAAGCTGCCTTTAGAAAACAGAATTACCTGGAGCAAAAAGGTCTGTTCCGATGTAATGAAACATTGCATGCCCTGGGCTTTGTTCAGTTTTTTCCATCTGTCACGCGCACACTCTTACACACTCTGTTGTGGTTTTGCCCTGAGTGATTCGCGGAAGGGCCTTTTGTAAAAGCTGTAGGGTTGCTGTGATTTATTTCCTTGGAGGCTAACTAGAAACTGAAAGGTAATTTCATCTAAGGTGGCAGAGACTCACTTTACTATAGAACACTGAGAGAGTTCAGCAGAGAGTTGCTTACAAATAGTCAGAAACTCATAACCATGCCTTTAAAAGAGAACAGAGGTTTTGTGGTGGTGGTTTTTATTTATTTATGTACTTCTAACTGAAGGAAAAAAAGGAGAAAACACGAGAAGGAAATTTCCTGGTCATTTAGATTAATTCATGGAACATTGATGTTTATGTTATTTATATAGTATGTATTTGTCTTGTTAAATTCTAGAGTAGAGTCCATATTAGTGAAAGCATTGTTTCAAATACTTGACACAGTAACTTCTTATTGAGGAGTTTTATAACAAAGACCATTGAATGTTAAATGTTTTTTTAAGAGTATTTCTAGTTCTTTCATCTTTTTAACATATAAAATGAAAAACTTGGTTATAAAAAAGCATAATAGCGTTTTAAAATAAGAAATGTTCTGTTTTTCTGATTTTCTCCATAGTCTCTTGCCAGGATATGTGCTTCAGGATGTATGAAGTGGAACTGTCAAACAAACAAGGGGAAAAAATAGATAAACTAACAGAGTATATTAAAAATAAGCAATTGGTAAGAATCACCTATTTAAAATATAATTATTATTTTTTCTTTGAATTAAGAAATCGATATCTCATTATTAGTTGACTGTGCCTAGAGTGAATTATTTTAGTTTGCTGAAAGGATTTTCATTACTTAATATGTGACATATTCTTTTTTTTAATTTAATTTTATTATGTTTTTTATCTATTTTTTATGTGACATATTCTTAATATTTATTGTCTAATATTTTCATCCTCCTTTGTGTCTCAGTTTACATTCGTATTTCGCTGGTCAGTTTGTACTCCTAATTTTAAGAATTAGAGGACAGTTTTCCCCAAATCTTTGTTGTTGTTTTATGACACAAGAATTGATTAGATCCCTAGTGTTTCTGAGTTAATCAAAGGACCATTTGTGAGATACTTCTTTAAAAGTGACCTGTGTTGATCTATAGGTATGTAAGGAAAAAAAATCAAATGCTGGTGCTCCCACTGTTTCCATATTGTAGAAAGTAAGCCGCTAATGAGAATTATGTAACAACCCAGAGACTTCTGTCCATTTTGTCAACCAGGGTTCCTCAGTGTGAGGAATGAGTAGAGGGTGACTTTTTATGAGTGAGACCTAAACATCCCAAGGGAGATGGTGTGAGTGTGGGATAGTGATCTAAACATGTGAGCGCATTAGTGGCATGCTGGACTACCCCCATAGTAGATAGCAAGAAATCAGTAAGTGAAAACAGGACCTGTGTCTAAGCTGTGAAGATAAGGGGTCTTAGGGGCAGCCAGTTAAGATACTTGGAGTTACTTGTGATGGAAACCCAAGCTGGCTTAGATAGTAACAGGACTGAACAGGCTTTTTTTCAATTCTAGGTGATAAGGCCAGTTCAAGTACTCTTTGCTCAGGACTTTGTGTTTCACCTCACTCTGCTCTGTACACTAGTTTTGTCCTGAGGCTGCCACTCGGGGCGACATGCTTCCTTTGTGCATCTGGAGAGAGAGAGCCCCTCCTCACCTTCACTTCAGTTTCATTAGACCAGTGTATGTCATCTGCACATCCCTTGTCCAGTAACTAACAGGGAATGGCGTGCCTTGACCCACGCAGGCCATCCTGAGCCCACATGCTGGGACTGGGTCCAGGGTCAGTCCTGCTGAGTCTGTGGCAGTGCTCCTCAGCACAGAGGAACCAGCTGGGCAGCAGTGGATGCTGAGCAGATGGCCGTTGAGTATCTCCTGGGGGAATGTAGGCTATGTTGTTTTGCAGTAGCACAGTCCATTTTCTATTGGGAAAGTAAAAGGAAGAGAGTCCAAAAATGTTTTCAGAACATGCATTCATGAAGCGACTGTTTGTAAGTGCAAATGATATCAAAAGTAGCAGAGACCTGATGCACAAATCACATCAGGTCCTTCCTCCTTGGTGTCCATGCTTTTTCTTCCTTTTTTTTGTTTTTTAAGTTTTTAATTTCAGTTGGTTAACATACAGTATTATATTAGTTTCAGGTGTACAGTACTGTGAGTCAACACTTCCATACATCACCCGGTGCTCATCACAACAGGTGCACTCCTTCATCCCCATCACCTGTTTCCCCCACCCCCCTCCCATCTCCCCTCTGGTACCCAGCCGTGTGTTCTCTAGCGTTAAGAGTCCATTTCTTGTTTTGTCTCTCTCTCTCTCTCTCCCCTTTGCTTATTTGTTTTGTTTCTTAAATTCCACATGTTGAGTGAAATCATATGGTATTTGTCCTTCTCTGACTGACTTAACTTCACTTAGCATTATACTCTCTAGCTCCCATGCTTTTTTTTCTTGCCTCATCATTGTATGAATAATTTTTACATATCCGTCTCCCCACCTAGACATTGAGTACCTTGAGGGCAGTTATCATATCTTAAGCATCTTTGACACCTTAGTGCCCATGCCTGGTGTATAGAGGACAAGCAATAGATGTCCCTTGAATAAAGTATATGTGGCCTTGTACCCAGAACACTGACCTTCAAGAACAGTACCAACCAAGGTCTCTTTTTAACAGGGTCTTAAGGACATGTATGGCTGTATTTTTCTGTGTGTAAATGGAAAAGTCTAATAGATATGTAAACATTGTATGATTTCTCCCCACAAAGGTTAAAATAGGAACTTTAGCCCTTTCAGTACATAATCTGAGAGACCAATAAGATATATATTTGTTTTATTTGCACATTTCATCTGTATCACAAAACTAAAATGCAGAATGATGTAGAGGCTAACTCTCTTGTCACTTTCACTTTTTATAGTAGTAGAAAATGAAGCCAGAATTATACCTGCAGTTTCCTAGATACCAAAGCTATGGGTATATATAACTACTGGTATATTTATTCAATAATTATTTCTTCAGTCCCTACTGTGTGCCCAGAAGCATAAATACACATACAGTCCCTGCCATCATAGAATTTGTAAGACTGGAGGAAACAAAAGCAGAAACTGTCAGGTGCCCAGGGGCTATCGCAGAAGCGTGTGGAATGATTGTTCCTGTGGATGTAATCATTGGAAGTCTTTTTCATACTTTGTTATTGAATAATTTATTGATTCCCCATATTTGTAGGCTTATGACTTATCAATCTTTGAAATAGAATGTTTTCTCACTTTATTCTAAAAAATGGTGTATTTTGTTTGTTTCTTTTTTAACTGAAAAATTACTATATGAACATTGGATTTTCTCTTTGTTATGGATATATAAGTTTTTGAAATGGTGACTAATGGAAAAGCTGTTATCTTTATGATTTACAATGGCAACTTTTGGATAACTTCCCCACTAATGGGGAAAAATTCCCAGAGTTACCAGAAACATGAAAATTTCAGGATTTTTTTTTCTTGAGCTCCAGATTCCCCTGAAGACTATGATAGAGGGAAACGAGAGGAAGAATTTTTTTTTATCTGCATCTCTTGTGCCACGGGACCTAATTATGTCATTAACTATTATTTTCTTCTCTTAGGATGCTGTAGAAAGGATTATTTTATTGGATTGTATCTTCCAGTCTTGAGTTCCAGGATTCTGTGATATTTTTTGTGTAAACATGAGCTTAAGATGCTAATCCCAGGTCTGAGTCACCTTGAATTTGTAGTGGCTGAATGGTGACAGATTGGCTACTTAGGCAGCAGAATGAAATGTCAAGCATCTTAATGAAAAACTGAAATGTCTTTTCCAATTGATTTGTTACATAGTTGAACACTATCCTAAAACTAACCTTAATGTTCTGGTTCTTATATGTAGGCCTCACAGGGCCAAGATTATTTGAGAACTAAGGAACTTGCAGGTTCTGATACTGGGGACAAAATTCTCCTGATTCTTACAAACACTAACATTTCAAGAATTGTGTTATATTTATACTTTTCATGAGCTCACAATTCACTGCAGAGTGTGGTAGAGGGAGAAAGAGAGGGACTGAATCTTCTTTCACTTTTTTTTTTTTTATTTTTTTTATGTTTAAGGCAATCATCAAATGCTTAGAAGATCGGGGGGTTTTCATCTTATTTACATCATCAGCCTTAATACCAGAAACAAGTAAGGACCGCTTTTTTTAAAAACTGTTTTTCAGTATGTTTACTTTTGTTTTATAAGATCAACAACCTAACTTTTCTTACGATTTTCATTCTGTGTAGATTTTGGAGATGGGCAGACGGGTCTATGTGGGTTACATTTATTCCATCCATCCCTTCCAGCAGGTAAGGGCACAGTGACGTCCAGTTCATGGAGTCTGAGGGATATTTTTCAGTCTTCATCTTGACCTCTCAGCAGCGCTTGACCCTCGTAACTGTTTTCTGCTCTGAAATCACTCTCCTTTAACCTCCCTGGGTGATCCCTCTTTGTCTCCTTCGCAGACCTAGACTTTCCTCTGAGCTTCACACGCCCATATTCAGCTGCCTGTTGACATGTTCACTTAGATGTCTCAGGTGTTTAGTCACATTTTCCTGTTTATCCATGTTTGCTCTTCTTTTCCTTTTCGTAATACCGGCTCAAGGGCAAGTGTATTCAGCTAGGACTAACTTGGTGTTTCTTAATTTTGCAGTTACTTTTTCTTTAAAAAGAGCGGCATGACTCAGTTCAGTTCAGTAGACACCAGAGGCTGTTGTCATCTGTGGGTTTTTTGGGTTTTTTTAAGATTTTATGTATTTATTTGACAGAGAGCACAGGTAGGCAGAGTGGCAGGCAGAGGAAGAGGGAGAAGCAGACTCCCTGCTAAGCAGGGAGTCCGATGTGGGGCTTGATCCCAGGACCCGGGGATCATGACCTGAGCCGAAAGCAGATGCTTGACTGAGCCACCCAGGCGCCCCATCTGTGGGGTTTTTTAATCTAAGAGTTACTGATGCCTTACATTTTCTAGGACTTCATTACCCACTTCTCAGTGACCTGACCTTTTATCTTTTTTCCCCCCTCTTACTATTTTTCTTTATGTTATTGATTTGCTGAAAAATTAGCATTTCAGTCAAAGAGTGAGCCAAGGAGAGAGAGTGGAACACAAGACTAGTCGGTTTAGTTACTTACTTTTAAAAAAATGTTTAATTTTTTTTTAAAGATTTTTATTTGTTTATTTGAGAGAGAGAGCATGAGAGGGGAGAGGGTCAGAGGGAGAAGCAGACTCCCTGCCGAGCAGGGAGCCCAATGTGGGACTCGATCCTGGGACTCCAGGATCATGACCTGAGCCGAAGACAGTCACTTAACCAACTGAGCCACCCAGGCACCCCCCAAAAATGTTTATTTCATTTTAACACCAATAGTTACCATGAGATTTAGGGGTTACTTAAAGGTTTTACTTTCTGCAGGTCAGTTAGTTTGCATTGTAATTTCTTTAAAAGAATTTGAAGTAAGTTAAATAAGGTACAGATAAAATAAGACCGATTTTAAAAGCAGGAAATGAGCATTGAAAATACTTGAAGGCAAATCTGCGATGGTACCTGAGCTCATGCTGGGCTCCTGGCCAGATGAGGTGGAGCTGCCTTCCTCACTCTAACCCAGTGATTGCACTGGAATCACTCGTTTTTGGTTTGCGTGTGTGTGTGTGTGTGTGTGTGTATGAGTGATTTCATGTAAATAGAGATATATATACATTAAATGTACCCATAGGTCTTCTATTAATTGCCAATTAGATTCCCATGTGAAACACTACCATATTCAACCATCTCATGGTTTTATAATCCACAGGATTTTCTTCCTGCATGTTTTTGTAGAATTAAAAAAAAAAAAAAGACAAAACTTGAGGTTTAAATGTATGTGTATATGTTTTAGGGCTGAAAGAATTGAAAGGTGAAGATGACATCTCATTGAAGGTGACACCTATTTTACCTGCCCTTAATTGTGCCCTGCTAGAAGCAAAGAAGTCATTTACTGAAGAAGGAGTGTGTCCAAACATATTAGTAAAGCATAGTTTCCAAGAACTGTACAAGGTAGACAAAGGCTCTTCATTGACTGCTGCTTCCCAAGATGGAATCCAAGAGACTGCATTCTTTGGCCAACTGTCCAATGGCTTTGACTTGGTTCCTCCAGTGGAAAAGTGCCCTTCACAGTCTTTAACTCAGTTGAGGTCTTATTTTTCAGATCCTAGTGGGTATGTTTTGGAAGTGTCTACTGCGTTAGATTTATTGGCAGAGCGTCCTCAGTCCCCTTGTATCTCAGATGGAATTTGTGACGCTGCATTTTCTTTAGTTATGACTCCAGATCCTGAATTTCTTGACTCAGAGGTAGAAGTAAGAAAAGAAACTGAAACCGAGAAGAATCCTGAAGAAATGTTGAAAGCCAGGCAGGGAGCTCTGCTTCCGTTAAGCGCAGCATCAAATCTGAGAGTTCAGCCTAAGAGAAAGGCAAGCGTACCACCCGCCGTGCAGAGTAAAAGGGTGAACTTGTGCCGCCCCTTCCCCAAAAGAAATCCTGCCGGAGCAAGCAAGGGTTCGGATTCTCTAGCAACTCTCAAATTAGTTAAAGGACCATTCCCTCAGAAAAGAAAAAGAGGTAAGTACGATTTCTTTGGAGTATGAAATGAGCATTAGTAGTAGCTATGGTACTGATTGTTGTGCCCCGAGCTGGGGAGTATCAGGTAGAAGTTTGCTAGAAATGCCAACGTTTCTCTCCAGGTGATTTGTCTACGTGCTAAAATTTGAGAAGCACCATTCTAGATGGCAGATGAAAATCAAGAAATAGGAAAAACTGTAAGATACCTCAAAAGCCCACTCACCAAAGGCTCATATTTCATTTGTAAAGTGCTTCCAACAGTCACTCACTCATTTACACTCCATTCTAAGCAATGGTGACTCAGTTTCTAAGCTATCCTTGGACAAATAAGGGTGGCGGAAGAGGGTCTTCTAAAACCAGGCTCACCAGTAGCAGCAGGAAGTGATAACCAGTAGTTTGAACGTGTATAAAGAGGGAATTAAATGCCTGAACTCTCCAAACCTAAAGCAGTCTGGGGCAAAATTTCCCATCCTTTGTGTGTATCAGAGTTTTTAAAAATAGTCACCTGGATCCTGCCGTAGACCTGTTCAAACAATGTCCAGTGGCCTAGAGACCTGTATATTGAAATGATTCTACAAATGGCTTTGTTGCGTCCTGTAAATTAAATGAGAATCAGTCTGTAGCCACTTAGTGTATAGGCAAATGTGCTGTGGCAAACAGAGCACAGCAAACCACGTGATTTTGGCTTACTGTCACCTTAGTTGTGTGTATTGTACTTTGCTTAAAGGTAGGGAACCATATGCTCCATGACCCCTTAGAGAAGGGGTCAACCAACTGGCCAAAGGGTCCCTCAAGCATTTACCAGTTGTCTCTGGCTGCTTCACACCTTGCTGGCAGAGGTGAGCAGCTGTGACTGAGATCATGTGACCTTCAAAGCTGAAAATATGTCCTGGCAGCCTGTCCCAGGTTTGCTAACTGTATGTATAATATTTTGAATTTAGAAATGTTGGTGCCTAAAGAAGAAAACCTCAGGGATATGCAGATCCTCAGGATTGTAGATAATTAAGGCTTTACCCTGTGGCTTAACAGATAGTTATTTCTGGCTTATTATAGTTGGAGACGGGGTGAGTATGTGCGCATGCACACGCGTGTGGGAAGGATGGAAAGTGTGGCAGTATAAAGCAGTAAACCAGACTGTACAGCTACTTACAAGTACGTTCCAGGCCAAGCATGTTGGGTTTCTTCTGTATATGAACCAGTTTACTTCAAGCTGTTAAATAATCTATAATTCAGGATACATGTTGTCACTGTTTCTCAAATTTCCACTTTAAGAAATGTTTTATGTTATATAGTCCAGTGCATGCAAATATATACATGACTGAAACAAAAATTTCAAAAAACATTTACCCTAACTATGCCTAGTACAATCTAGTATTTTCTATCCTGCTTCATTTAAGAAAGGATTCTGGTTACAACTCATTAAATTTATTTTACAGTCCACCAATGAATTGTGCCTACAACTTTAACATGGCATTGAGTGATGCAGATGATCCCTGAAGGATCACCTTCTTCTGTGTTTCTGTTTCCCTCCCAGGACCTGGGTTGTGTGCAGTCTTCCTGCCTGCCTATGCAGCTGCTAGGAGCCTCCCCTAGCTCTTGATCCTCTCGTCTTATTCTCTTTCTCTTCTCAATTTAGTCTGAACTTTTCCTGCTTGATTTATATTTTGCCTTTTTTGTGCTAAAAATTTTAGAAAATAGCTGGAGTAGAATGAGAAGTCATAAATAGGAAGGAAAATAATTAGACCCAGGGAAGTGTACCACATAAAGAGATGCAAGAGCTTTTTTTAAAAAAAAAAAAAAAAACCTTTCTCAAACTCCCAAAAGAATGAAATTAAATTGGTCTGTTTTCTACATTTCACTAGTAGTCATCACAATTTATTAAACTACTATCATGTTTCCTTTTCTCAATTAGAAATACAGTTGATCCTTGAACAACGCAGGCAATCAGGGGCGCCAACCAACCCCCCACACAGTGGAAAAATCTCTATAGCTTTTGTCTCCACAAACTTCACTCCTGATAACCTCCTATTGACCAGGAGCTTACTGATAGTACAAATCACTGATTGACACGTATTCTGTATGTTTTACATATTATATACTGTATTCTTACAATTATGTAAGCTGGAGAAAAGAAAGTGCTATAAGAAGATCATAAGGGGCGGAGGCCCCTGGGTGGCTCAGTCGGTTAATCATCCAACTCTTGATTTCAGCTCAGGTCATTGTCTCAGGGTCGTGAGATCAAGCCCCACTCAGCGGGGAGTCTGCTGGAGATTCTCTCTCTCCTTCCTCTGCCCCTTCCCCCCCCCAGCTCTCTCTCACTTGTGCTCTCTCTCTCTCAAATAAAATCTTAAAAAAAATCATAAGGGGGGGCGCCTGGATGGTGCAGTCAGTTAAGTGTCTGACTCTTGATTTCAGCTCAGATCATGATCTCAGGGTTGTGGGATTGAACCCCACGTTGGGCTCTGCACTTAGTGCGGAGTTTGCTTAAGACTCTCTCCCTTTCCCTCTGCCCCCCATCCCCCCCCTCGAGCGTGCACATGCGTGCGCACTCTCCCAAAGAATAAATCTTTAAAAAGAAAATCAAAAGGAAGATAATACATTTATAGTAGTGTCCTTAGATTTATTAAAAAGGAATCCATTCAAACGTTGTTCAAGGGTCAACTGTAGTGTTTTCTCTATAACGTAATTTTATAATATTTGCCAACACTCATGTGTGATATTTTTATTGATATCTTTGAGACTAAATTTTTTGGTGGGAACAGCTGAAAGTAAAAGTTTTCAAAGGGAACATTTATTAACTTTTTTTTAACTCTTAAAAGATTGAAACGCTTTCTATTAAATTAGCAGGGTAGTCGTGAGGTTTTTTTCTACATACTTGCCTCCTAGCTGTTCCCTTCCATGTGAGAAGCAAAGCTGAGCACTTTGTAAGAGAGATGAAAGCTGAGCACTTTGTACGAGACTTGTAGAAAGTTAAATCAGTGAAGCCTTCTTTAGCAGACCTTCCTCTGTCTGCTCTGTAAAGATGATTTTTCCAGTGGTATTAAGACTTGTATATTTAGGAATAGTCAAGTGAAATCAGAAGATGGCTCTTTATGAATATACAGTCTCTTTTCTGCAGTGCGATTACAGTTTTATCTAATGACTTCATGGGAGCTGTGTTGCTTTTCTGTAAATTGAATTCTCCATTCCCCAGTGCTGTGAGCTACCATCTTCAGCCTTCACCTGCCTCATCAGTCAGGAAAGATTATGGAGAATTTTTTTTTTCTTTAGTTAAGTCATGCCTTGTTTTTACAAAGTTATTACTCTGACATTCTTCTTCACCTGACAGGCTATATCCAGTGCTTAGAAAGATCATGTTTTTATATTTATCTGAGACCTTTTAACTCATGCTTTGTTAAAAAAAAATCTTTTAATGAAATACCCCAAATTTTATATTTTCTTCCCTATTGTTAAAGTTACCCCTCCCCCCAAAAAACAAAAGAAGTCAAAGGAGAAGCTATTGCTGATAAATATTTGAGCCCCCTACCCCTTAAAAAACGGTGTGTTTTCTACATAAGGTGCTGACGTGCGGGCTGCACAGTTTGTACAGACAACCAAATTGGATAGGAAAAAACAAGAAGCTCCCATTTCTAAAGATGCTCCAGTGGCAACGAATACTAAAAGGGCAAGGAAACAAGAGAAATCTCCAGTCAAAACTGTTCCAAGGGCTAAGCCACCCGTGAAGAAATCTCCACAAAAGCAGAGGGTAAATCTAGTAAAAGGCAATCAGAATCCCAGAATCAGAAAGCAGCCACAACCTGGTAAGAAACACTCTTCCTGTCGACTTAAACACCGCAATGCAGACTAATTGAGATTGCAAGATAGTATATTGAAATAATCTAAGAACAGCTGAAATTTAGCAACAGTTCCTGCTATTTCCTTGAGTTCAAACACTAACAGGACTAAGTAGGTGGGTTTCCTGTTGTAAATGAATCTGTTAAGTGCAGGTTCAGAGCTTCACAAAATAGACCCTACTTTTTAGTTTGCAGAAAGCCTGAACGTGAATGGTCTACAAGAGTGTCAGTGTAGAGAGGCTTCCTTATAAATAAATGCACACAGAAAGTATCTGGCAATATTTTTCTGGGCCGTAATCAGTTAAGAAAGTAGAAGGTTAGAAGTTTATTTGTCCAGAGGGAGTTAGAAAGAGATCATTGAAGACACTCAGTAGTCCAGAACCCTGTTTGGTTTTAGAAAGCATTAGATTAATTTTAAAAGCGGTTTTACTTTCCTAGTTTTGCTTCAGTGAATAATAAAGTTTAGTTATATGAACAAATGCCCAACTGCTCTAGTTCTGTATTTTCAACTGCTAGACAGAAAGCCCCACCGTCCCCACAGACTTCACCTCCCAAGCGGAGCTCACATCGCGTCCACGTCCTGTCTCACCTTGCGTCCATGTGTGTGTGTGTGTGTGTGTGTGTGTATGTATGTGTATGTGTTGCACTTCTTCCAGCCTGCGGAGTCTCGGACTTCTCCATCTTCCGTATTGAGGCCTGTGGGGTTGCATGTGTGTTGTTTTTCTTGTTAACAAAGATGTAATGTCCTCATACTTTGTATTCTTACAGTTTTCTGTCTAATCTCCCTGATTCTGCTTTCTCCCTCACCTATTTTTAGATTTTTAAAAAACCTCATGGTTAGTGGGAATTCAGAAAATATTGTTTTATTGGGCTGATGGTATTATGGGTAAGAGTGGTTTTTTCTAAGTTTCTTTAATATTGTTTTATAATAGAAGGATTTTTTTTGTGTTTTGTTTTCAGTGAGTGACGATTTTTTAAGAGCTCATGTGATTCGAAAACCCAGTGTTGCAGTTTTGAGACACAGACAAATGCAAACTCTGCTGGTCTCTTGGGCGGTTCCTAAGGAGGCCTTACTCCACACCTCCTTGTTTCCCTCCTGCTGTTTCTCGTTCAGCGTGTCTGTCCTGCCACGTACTCCGTGCTTCCCCACACATCACCCCGATTTCTGCTCTTGTGCACTTCCCCTCCACCACATTCTGCACAGCTAGTCCTGCCTCCACCGTGAGGCGTTTCCCGATGCTCTGATCTTCACTCAGCTCTGTGTTTCTTTCATTTCCTTCTGGGTTTTTGAGAACACTGTAGAATCAAATTCGTACTCTTCTCTAATCATTTGATTTGTCTTGGTCCTGTCTTTCCAATGAATTTGTAAACATCATGAGCATAGATACACATATAAATGCCTTGTGTGCTGAGCTGTGTCATTTGAATTATTTGTACTGAATTGGTACAAATATTTGTAGATATTTGTAGACTAATGGATTAATGGGAAGAATGCAGTTGGGTATTGGCAGAAAAGTGCACCCAGAAAATGAAAAGTTTTTAAAATATGTATTCAGAAATAGGCTGATTTGTATTGTAAATGTCTGTATATATTGTGCAGCCACATTCCAAGTTAAAATTTTAAGCTTGCCACCTTTTAAATAATCTCTTAATTTTTCTTTTATTTCTTAGTCACCTATACTAATCTGTTTCATTTCTTATACTTAAAGTATAAGAATTTAAGAAGGCTCATTTTTGTTACTGAAACTAGTGCTTTTCTGCCCTTTTTAAAGTTTTCAATATAGCTTTTACTTATTGAACTCTATATTTTACATATATTTCATTTGGTGTTGTCTTATTTGTATTTTTTAAAAGATGATTAGTATTCTATTTTTAACTGATTGAGAACTTCTAACAAATCAGTAATTGAATGATTTAACTGAGACACATAATCTGTTAAAATAAAGCCTTTTTCTTCAGTGCAGTGTTCTTTATATTAGGCTTTACTTACAAGTGATACCCTGTGTAAGAGCCATAATATTAATGACAATGGAATGAAATTAGTGTGAATAAACACATCAGAGATCATGTTTCCAGTAGATCTGTGGGGCTGATGACGTATCTCTGCTTCGGGTCACTTCACCCACCTAATCCCCTTGGGTTTTGCTATTTTAAATAAAAAGTGGACAGTGGTTGATTACTCTTATCCTTCCCACCACACACACACACACACACACACACACACACGTTCTCATTCTGTTTGATGACCTCACAGGCCAGGGTTTTCTCTTTAAATGGATTCGTAGTCATTTGCCTTTGCAGGAAGGTTAATAATTCATTTCAGACCTGCTGCTGCTGTTATAAAGAACACAGTTGGCTTTTCTGTGCATGCACTTGCTGCAGGAAATTGTTGCCTAGTACTGTTGTGAACTCTGTCCTTCATGATAGCCGCATCTAAGTAGGCCGAACTAACATCCTGAGAATGGAAGTAGGCGACTGTAGAAGGTCGCTTTCTGCTTAAGACATATGGTGGATTGGATCATCTACAGAAAGGAGAATTATTGGTAGACAAGGAGATTTGCTATTTGCAGACAGAGTAGAGAGGAAATGTTTTCAGTACAGAACTTAAAAGTTTTAGAAGATGATGAAATTGGTGATTCTGAATGAATAATCTTATGACTCTTCTGATTTTTTTATTTGTATCATTACATATTCTAATGAAACATCAGTAGGGTTAAAAGTCATGTCTAGTTTGAACTTAGGTGATTTCTCTAACAAAGCACTTGTTAAGGGACATGCTTTCTAAAAGTGTGTTAACATACTATAATATACACTTCAAACTTAGAAATTCTTACGTTCTCACTAGATTGTAAGCTCTCTGAGGGCAGGACTCCTGTTTTTTATTCTTGTTTTTCTTTCCCTCTTTGTATATTTCTTTAGCTGATCAGTATACCTTGTGTGTAGTTCGGTACGTGCCTTTTGAAAGGTGATTTCTTTTTAAATCAATATGCACACTCCTTAAGATTTGTTCCCATGGTAAATACATTATATTAGAACTGGCAGTTGGAAGAAACCTGATAGTAAAATTTCAACCTATAATCTATGTAACCTATCCAGAGGTTCTTCTTGAGTATATTGACTTAACCATTGATTTTCACTAAGCCATAGTAGTAATATAGCAGAGAATTAAAATATATGGAAATCAAATGTTACATGTCTTTTTCTTTTATACTGAAGCAAAAGGAGAAACTGGTTCACAACTTCCATCAGAAATCTCATCAGTTGGTCAAGAGGATGTTATTAGCATAAATGCAACTCAGACAGAAGATATCTCGGTGGCTCAAAAAGATCTGCCTGAAAACTCCATTGTCAACTGTGACTCCCAAGCCCTCAATATGCTAGCTGACCTAGCATTAAGTGCTGCTACTTCTACCACACCACCATCTGAGCCCAGGAGCTTTCCCTGCGCCTCTGAATCACCACAGAATGATGTTTTGCTTTCTAAAGAACATTCTGTGCGCGGTACATCTGACCATGAGTATCACAGAGGAGTTAAAAATCAAAAAGGTGGACTGTTACCTAAGCCCTCCTCTGAGAAGAAGAGTAGTCCGGCACCCGATTCCCCCATCAGCCAAGAGGAGGAGAGCGTGGCTCCTGGCAGTCCGGCCCCCGTGGAAGCCGCATCAGCCCTTTCTGAGGAAACGCTAGAAAGTAATGATGCAAGCCAAAGCTCTTTTGTTGCCGTGGAACATTCCTATGCCCTGCTCCTTGCGGAACATTCAAAGAAGCACCTACAGCAGAGAGGAACCTCCAGCCCTGCCTTCGCCAAGAATGGCCCCAAAGGCCCTGAGGCGGGGACCCCGGTGGGGAAAGTAATGCCATTCCGGCACCAGCAGAGCGCGTCCCCGCTGCAGAAGCTGTCCGAGGCCCTGGTGCTCAAGCGCAGGAGCAGATTGCTGTCCTCCGGCCTGAAGGACTTTCACTGCTCTCACACTGTGTTCAGCTGTGACGGCTCCGTTAAGGTCACTTTCACATGTGACACGGAGTATGTGTTCAGCTTGGACAGCAAGTATACCAACAACCCGCTGGAGAAAACTGTAATCCGAGCACTACATGGGTAAGTAGGAGTGACACTCCATGAAAACGGACGTGACTTTTGTGTTGAGATAAATGCAGTGGGAAGGAATCCTTGTGCCAGACTTTGGGCAAAGAGAAGTCCTGTGTGTGCATCCGATAACTTAGTAATAATATCAGGCAGTCGTGTTTACTGACAACTAAGAAAATGAGGCTGGTTTTGCCCCTGTCATGGTCACATGGAGACCTTTTGCAAGCTGACTTTAACCCTGTGAATGGCTTTCCATTTTGAGATGCTTCTACATAAGCCTTTGTGGTCTTTGAATTACAATATTTAAATGAGATCTTAATGTAAAATCGTGAGATAGAGAAATAATGTTTTACAGCCTAAATTCCGGAAGAAACATTTCAAGAATTACTTCTAGCTTGTTAAGCTGGTCAGATTGTTCTGCGTGAGCAGGTTTACATGGGGTTGTTCTGTAAATCTTTAAGGGGCCAAGGCAGTCACAGCAGAGGGACTGAAGGCACAGGCTTTGGAGTATGGGCTGACCCAGGTTTTTAACGTAGGTTCTCCCACTTAACTAGCTTCTGTGACCTGGAAGAGGTTCCTGTTCTCTGGGGTAGTGCTTCTCAATCTTTACTCTCTGACAGCTTATTTAGAGATCTTATTCAAGTGCAGATTGTGACTCAAGTCTGTTTGGGACGGGCCTCTGGGCCTCCGAGTCTACATTTCTAACAGATTTCCAGGTGAAGCCAGTGGAGGATGGCAGTCTGTAGGGACCCCTTCGAAGGATGGGTTAGTAATAGCTACAAGTGAGGTTGCTGTGTACTGGAGGGTTTTGTGCAGTGACTGGCACATACTGGTAAGTGGTAACCATTACTATTCCCAATGAGCGCTCGCTAAAGGGAATGGCACTCAGCTACCTCTTCGTGGAGTGTTTCACCTAGGAGCGGCTCAATTGTGTCAGACTTCTCTCCGTGCTCTGGTTACAAGCTTGCACTCATGGGAGCATCGACTTAACATTTGCATCTACTCAGGACGGTCATTTCCATAGCCTTCATCCTGCTTACCTGAAGCCCAGCTCTGCAGCCCCTCTGACTCTTCTCACTGCCACTCTCTGCTTTACTTTTGCCGGGCAAATGGCCAGAAATGTTTTCTCCCTGTGTGGTTTCAGGAGATTTGCCAGGACTGTAATCTGAAAATAGTGTTCTGCTGAATTGCCCACAGAGATATTTTAATCTTCAGACTTTCCCAACTATTAGAAGAAACACACAAAAATAGAAAAGAAATGAGTTGGCCAGACTTGGCAAAAATGAGGATTTGGGTGGTTGCTGGAGCCATTATTCACGTAATAGGTATATTGTGTCCAGAGAGAGTTGGAGTGGAGTAAAAGAAAAATCCTAGACCAGGAGCCCGGAGACCTCTGTTCGAGTCGTGGCTCTACCGCGTAAAGGTTTTGTGATCTAAAAGAAGTTAGTTTTCAAAGCTCTGATTTTCAGTTCCCTCTTCTGCCTCTGTTAAGTGAGGGGATTAGATTCATTGTCATTATTTGTTACATTAACTTCATTTTTATCTTATTCATTGTTTCAAGTTTGTATATTTTTAATACAAAAATGAACACATTTAAAACTAAGAATCACCAATTTCAGTGATTTTTTTGCATGTTTTTTTCCTTAAAATCTCAGGCCCTGGAACACTGACTTACCTGATAATGTGGAAGAAGTGAAGCTTTTACTTCATATGTGGGTAGCTCTGTTTTACAGCAAGCAGAACAAAGTCATACGGTCATCCCGAAAAGTGGTAGAACACAGCAACCCAGCAAAATATGTGTCTATAAATAGCACATTAGAATCTTTTGAATTCAGTGAAATTGAGGAGTCCTCCAGTGTGGAAAGATGTTCTGTAGACCCTCTTTTGGAGACCAATGAAACTCCCACAGGTCATGCTGCCGACGTGTCCTTCCCTGACACTAACGCCTTGCTTCCCTTCATGAAACCACCACCCACGGGAGGCTTGGAATTCTGGGTACAGAATGAACAGAAAGAAATTTGTGCAGGAGAGGGTCATCCAGATACCCCAGAAAGCCAGAATTTGATTTATTCTTGTAATAATGAGGTAAGTAAAGCTGAATACTATATGTGCTGACATTTTTGAAGAAATTTTTTTTTTTTTCTTGATATGTAAAATCACATTCAAAACATGTCATTGGTTTCTTTTAGGAAGGTGGATTCTCTGTGTAAAGGATTAATATCAAAACTTAGTTTCCGTAAATGTCGCTCTGGATTGTCTGCAGGTGGAGCTTTTCTCCATCCTAATTGAAGACGCAGAAGTAGAAACAAACCATGGGGGTCAAATGGGCCTGGGGACCAGCCATAATGGTGTCACTTATCAGTTGTATAATTTGGGGCAAATTACTTGTTCTCTCTGAGCATGCTCTCTTATCTTTTAAAAGAGGTAAATAATATCTGTTCTTAGAATAGGTTTTTTATTTTATTCGAGAGCAAGAGAGCAGGAGCAGAGTGGGAGAGTGGGGGGTGCAGAGAGAGAGGGAGAAGCAGGCTCCCTACTGAGCAGGGAGCTCGATGCGGGGCTCAATCCCAGGACCCTGAGATCCTGACCTGAGCTGAAGGCAGACGCTTCACCGACTGAGCCACCCAGATGCCCTAGAATAGTTTTTAAGGATCATATGCAGTAATAAATATTATAAGTCTTTGGTAAACCTTAAACTGAAATTGAATATGTTAAAAATTATTAGAACAGTAAGTACAATGCTAGACTCTTCTGGTAACTATTAGTAAATATGGAAAATACACTTTGTTTCTTTCCATTGTTCTCAACTAATGTTCAGCAATACCACATTTTAACTGGAGCAAATAAAAAAGTTATATCAAAAGTCTATAAGTAAATGGATTGACAAAATATGTGCCTCTTTAAGGTTTCAGCATTGGTCTCTTCCAGGATACTTTTGCATGGGTTTGGGCACCTGCAGTGCGCGTCTTAACATTGAATAGACAGCGTTTCTATACCTGGGGTTACGTGGGGATTTGCGGGTCTAGGGACAAACCTCAGAGAGCCTGTGTCTCCAGATGCTCATCTTTATCAAAATGAAACTGATGGTGTGCTGTGGACTAGACAGTGGTTTGCGCCCTTTGCTCACATTAGCTCAGTCTCACACAGCCTGGTGAATAAGGACCACCCCCCCATCTTATAGATGAGGAGACTAAGTCTGCTTCTCTCTCTCCCTCTGCCCCTTCCCCTGCTTGTGCTCTCTCTCAAATAAATAAACAAACAAATAGATCTTTCTTTAAAAAAAGAATCTCTACCTTAGAATAAGAAAATATAGTTTAGGGGCGCCTGGGTGGCTCAGTTGGTTAAGCGACTGCCTTTGGCTCAGGTCATGATCCTGGAGTCCTGGGATCAAGTCCCGCATCAGGCTCCCTGCTCAGTGGGGAGTCTGCTTCTCCCTCTGACCCTCCTCCCTCTCATGCTCTCTGTCTCTCATTCTC